GGTGCTTGCACATGTATGTTTGATTTATTTCACTTATGAGTATGGTCTCTAGTTGTGACCATTTAAATATAAAGGCCTCGAGTTTATCTTTCTAGGGATGGGTTTTTGTATGCTTGAATGCATGGGTGTTTATGTCACCCTCTTTTTTGGGAGGAGGGGAGGTTCTTCCTATGTATTTCAAGCTGGTTTTGAATTCACTATGTAACCTAGGCTGACTGCAAACTCACAGCAGTCCTCCTGCCTCAGCCTCCTGAATATATGTCACCCTCTTATCCCTTTATTTGGATTGGGAATTAAGGGTTCATGGTGACAATCAATCACAGCTCTCTTAGACTTTATTGTGGGCCTTGTTTGACAAGGTTCTTGTTCACCCTTTATGGAAACATATGAAACCAAAGAAGCATAATTTCTGAAACAAAAGAGAATGTTTTTAAAAGGAATTTTTACAAAGTACAGTACTCTACTAAGATAAACTTTGGGAAAGGTCTGTAGCCGGGCCAGGGATATAGCTCAGTGACACAAGTGCCTGCCTAGCAAGGGCAAGGTCCTGAGTTTATTTTCTGGTACCAAAAGGTGGGTGGGAGGGGGTGGGGAACAGCTGTAGGCACTGCACAGTTCTTTTTTCTTGCTGTAGCTGTAGCTGTTATCCTATAAGAAGCAGTAGGATATGTCTTACCTGTGAGGAACATTATTCCCCATCTGTTAATGTTTTCTTCCCAAAGAGGGAAGAAAATCAGCATGTTTGTGTCAGCAGGCCTGAGGCCTCAAGAGGGGAATTTTCTCTAAGGTTTCAAGGAACACAGGTCTTGGAGAATTCAGTGAATAATGGGGGTTGGAGAGGGTCCAGATATTTTGTTACATTCTGATGTTACCTTTCCAGTGTCCTTTACACCACAGTTGGGTCATCATTTTCTAAGAATAGCTATTCAGGCACAGTGGAGTAAATGATCAGTGGAATCATCTTTGCTCATTTCTAGATGGTAATTTTTTATGTCTAGAACACCTACTATTCTTTTCAATTTTTAAAGACTAGGAATGACAGATACATAAAACATATTTGGGAGAGTCAAGAAATTTGGGAATATAAAACACTAGTCATGATGCCTCTGACCATATAGTCATGTATACTGCTGTGTATGTTTGTTTAGCCTGAAGATAGCAATGAAACGTGGCTCAGAATGTGCTTTGCGGGTAGTAGTGGAAGTGAGACCAGACATCTGTCCCATAATCTGAGCAGGTCTTCTATTTTTATGCTGCAGATTATTCTTTTGACTTCTTGTGACATCCTTTCCTTTGCTAAATCTTTTAGTGTGTTTGTGACAAAATGTCTCCATTTAATGTGCTACAGCTTTGAAAAGGATGTCCGTAAAGGGACTTGCCTGAGATTTGCTCAACTCCTTGTTTTCTCTTGAGCTGAGCTATCAGATGGCTGGCCTGCTCACAGGCGAGTTGGGACACAGAAGAACTGTCACAGATGATCACCCTGGGGCTTATAATAATCATTATTCTTAGGCTCTTGGCCCATGTTTGCTATCTCCTTAATCAGTTTATATGAGACAGACTTGGATTATGTTTGTGCAAAGCCTTATGGACAGTGAGTGAGTTAGGACCTGAGTTAGGTCAACAACTGTGTTCTGGGCTTGACGGGCTCTAGTTGACAGCATCTGAACTGCTGGGACTCCTCTTCCCAGGTCACTGCGGAACTTGCTTGATGGCGAGATGGAGCACTCAGCTGTGCTGCGGCAAGAGGTCGACACCTTGAAAAGGAAGGTGGCTGAGCAGGAGGAGCGGCACACCATGAAGATCCAGGCATTGGCAAGGTAGGGAAGGGCAGGGGACCAAGAAGTAAGCACCTGGGGGCTTAGTTAAAACCCACACACAATTTTCACCCACACAGTATAATTTAAAAAAAAGTGACCAAAGGAAATAAAATTTATGCATTTCATAAACTTATTTTATTTAACTTATTTCATTAAATGATAACATATGCACATGGTTCAGTATTCAGAAGATTAAACTATGTGAGTTCCCTTTTTTTGTCCCTGCCACCCAATTTGCTGCACAGAAGCAAGTAACGTTACTAATTTCAGAGATCATCCAAGTATATACAACCAGGTGTGTGTACATATACTCCCCCACCCCCAAACCACTCGGTTTACATCTTGGGGAGGGCTCTGTGTTGTTAGGCAGGGGGACTGCCATCTTTTTAATAGCTCTCAATATGTCATTATCTGACTGACCAGAATTTGTTTAATCAATCTCCCAACAGCTGAGGGTGTTTCTTTTTTTTGGTTTTTCTCCGGTACCGGGAACCGAACTCACAACCTTGCGCTTGCCAGGCAGGCGCTTTTACCGCTGAGCTAAATCCCCAGCCCTCTGAGGGTGTTTCCACTCTTTTGCAAGTACCAGTAATGCCACAGCTAACAACCTGTGTGTTTGTTACCTCACTCATATGTGAGTACGTTTGCTGGAAGCATTCCCAGAGCAGTGCATTTGTATGTTAGGTAGAGGCCATCAACTTAACCCTCTGTAGATACTGAGCTGTGGATATCCCACAGCAGCATGTCAGGTGACACTGCTGTCTCAGATGTCCTCATGAGGGTAGGATCTAGGTTTCAAGTCCCTGATAATATCATGGGAGAAAAATGAGGCTGGCAGAGTATTTTTTCATTTGCATTTCTCTGATCATGGACATGATTGATCCTATTTTTATTGAAGAGCCTTTTCTTCTGTGATGTTTATGTTTTATTAAAGAAAACTTTAGTGGACCAAAAAACCCACCCAACTTCCATAAAAACATGCATTTTTTTTTACTTAATTTGTTCACTTGTGAACGTATTTTTATATTCTGCACTTATAATTTATAACCCATTTTTTTGTCCATCTCCTTCTCCTATTTACTACCACAAGAGCAGTTTTTATGTTAACTGTTTTTTTTTTTAAGAGCAGGATGTGTTTGTTGGGGAAAGAGAGCTTCTGTCTGAGAGAGAGAGAGAGAGAGAGACAGAAGGGGTCCCAAGTGGGTTGCCGAGGACCTTATCTTTTCAAGGGATTTGGATAGAGCCATGTTAACTCTTTTTATATACCTAGATGTAGTATTTCACTGAGTTAATGCACCATAGTAAATTGGTCATATTAATTAGTCAATTTAATATGGTCAATTTAGCATTTTAGCTATTTCCAGTTTTTTCCCTTCTTTCAGATGAGATAAGCAGTTTTTTGCTTGTTCTTTAAGATTGCTTTTAAGTAAGACCAGGAGAAAATTAAGATTGGGGCTGTGCTAGGGCCCCCAGGGTTGGGTAACTTACATGGCAGCCTTGGTGCTGTGAGGTGATATACTCGTTGTGTATCTGTAATTGAATATTAGCACCATAGAACTCATATCTATGTTCCATTCCTTCAGCCTCACCCCTCTCTTCCCTTTCTATTTTTTTTTAAAAAAAGAAGGAAAGCATATTAACAAACAGACATCCATTTACAAAGTTGCATAAGAACGATACAAGCAATACTGAATTACAAAGTGGTAGGAAATTAACAATGGTTGTTGTATTATGTATTGATATCTTCAAAGTGGTTTCTCAGGAAAACAAATAGAGACATGCAAGATTGATCAAATAAATAATCATTAACTGTTCCTTTCCGTAAAGCGATAGAAGTCAGTAGTAAAATTATGTTAGCTATCCTGTATATACATACATATGTAATTTCTCCTTCTATCTTTGCTCTTTTCCCATCCCAGTTGCTCTTTACTTTTGAGCATTTTCCTTTCCTTTCATAATGTCTATCATACCTCCTAATTTTAATTCACTCTTTCAGGTAATTACACTAGTGAGACAATATGTTGCTTACACATGGAGGTCTGGTTTATTTCACTTATGAGTATGGTCTCCAGTTGT